ATGCTGAGCTGAGCATGCTTCGTTGTCCTGTTCCCGGACGGACTCCCGTGATTGGATTAAGACCTTGCCCTGTGCCGGGACGACCTGATGATAGCCCTCCAATAGACGTGATGCCACCTCCTGTGCCTGGATGTGGACCAGAGCTTGTACCAGGACGTGACATGGGTCGATGATGCTAATGATAACGTACTTGATCTCGAATGACTTTAAGACGACGTTTCAAGATACATTACTAAAAGTTTGCGGTATATCGATATCGATGTCCGAAAAGTTTAAAAGAAGCGAATGTCTGTAGATGGCAAGTGAAGTGAGCTTTAGAATGGCTTTATCGACCATTATGGCTATTCTCTTTACTAACCTTAAAGAACTATTTAAGTGTCACATCTTCCATTAGGGGACGAGGCATTGAGGCTAAATGGTGAAGTCACCACTTTCGAATTTGGAAGCATTGAAGCAATCAGAAACGGAGATGACGATTCCATTGAGCACTGTTGGGCTTGCAGAATCAGCCCGAACTCTAGCATACACGTCTAAGGCTCAAGCAGAGGCAGCTGAAGCTGAAGCGAAGGCTGTTCACGCACAAGCCGAGGCTGCTCAAGCCTTGGTTGAGGCAGCACGAGCTCAAGCAGAGAGTGCACGCGCCCGAGCCGAGGCAGCGAAAACATTAGCAGAATGGTCCAAAAGTCAAGCGACGGCTGCACAGGAACTTGCGGACAAGCTAGCGGGATATTGTAAATGAGAGTCAATGTCCGCACTTTCTGAGTGCATACGCGAATAACTTCACTTTGCTTAACGAACGTTAATCGATCCTATCGCTTATTGAATTTAAATCGTTGCAAAACCGATGCTGCTTGACTGGACTTGTGGTTGTAAATGCTTTTCATAATCTGACTGCGACGTGCGTATCAAGAAGCAACTTCTTGAGACTGGGCGTAGGAATTGCGTTACCATCTCGTTTGTCCTTTGGTCAGATTGATTATTAGGAAACGCCTTGTATGATAAAACGTTTTCATAATTATGAATCTGAAAACTGGCTGCAAATTTTTCTCGGATGAAAGAAATTGCCCATAGCCCAGACTGAATAAATGCGCGTCGTGCGTCACTAAGCTAGAAAATAAAACGCGAGAATGGGCAATTATGTGCAGTTCATCTAAAAAAACGGTATTTCTGAAAGGGAGCGTGTTGAAAAGACAGATGTCGCCGAGTTTGCACCTTGAATTAGGCGCATTTGGTTTTGTCCAAATTATTTTCTTTCGTCAAAGGAGGCGAGAATTAGCGGACTAAGTCTGTAGCGATGTGCTATGTTGTTAACTTACTTTAAAGTATCGTAGTAACGATTGCTTA